CACACACACACACACACACACACACACACACACACACACACACACACCAATGTCGGTCATCAGTGCAACCCTCGTCTTCGACGAACTGCTCGCTGCAGCTGTCGGAATTGGGGTCATCCTCGACAATCTTTGTCCGAGGCTTGCACTTCCGGTTTTTTTTTTTCGGCTTCGTAGCCGGACTGGCAGTCTTGTTCTTCCGAGGCCTGCTACGTGGAAGTTTCGGCCTCGGCACATCGTCGACAGGGGGCGGCTTCCTCTTCCTCCCAACCTTGCTGACCCACAGGTTGTCGTGTTGGCTTCCCTCTATGCTGGCTGTCTGGGAATTCGGGGGAATTCTCCGGTGACCCGGCAGGCTGCGCTGTTTTCTTCCGACGCTTGTACACGGTCGTCGGTGCATGCTGTTGCTGTTGCAGCTCCTCCTCGCTGTTCGCCATGTCGTCGTGCTGCTGCTCCTCCTCGCTCTCTCCCACCCGTTCCGCATGTTGGTCCTCCAACCCCTCTTCTTGCTGGTTCGTGCCCTTCCCTTCGTCTTGTTCCATCTCCTCCTCTCGCTGGTCCATGCAAGCCTCTTCTTCTTCCTCCTCCATCTCTTCTTCTTCCTGCGCCAGGTGGGCCATCTCGTGTTCTTCCTCCTCGTCTTGCTGGCCCATCTCCTCCTCTTCCTCCTCCTCCTGCTGCCCCATCTCCCGCACAGGCTCTGGCTCATGCTCTCCAACCTTCTTCTTTTGTTTCTCCATTTCTCTACGGGTTGGTATAGCTGCTCGCCGCTCCTCCTCCTCTCTCATTCTCCTTTGCACCCGTTCGCGATCCGCATCAGCCATTGCCTTCGCACGATCGGCCTCCGCCTCATCCGCATCGATTGGACCGGGGCGAAGCACCATGTCAATGTCGGTGTCCATCTGCGGTAGCTCAACATCGGATTGGATGTCGTACTCGCACTTGTGTTAGCCGTCCCTTGACATGGCGTTGTGGGCGGGCGTTCTCGATGGCACTGCGTTGTTCGCCTCCTCCCAACATATGTGGTGCCCGGGATCGAGGGCTGCGCTCCGAGCTCAAAGTCATCGTCGGACCCGTCTTCTGCCTCCCCTTCGCTAGATGTTTCAGACCATGGAGCCTTTCCCTTCCATATCTCGTCCTCCAAGTCGTTGTCGTCCGTGCGCTCCTCTTCATCTTCTTCAAGGTTCTTCGGAATCCGGCCCTTTGGCAACTTGGTTAAGGCCCGTTCCCGCGCCTTCTCCTCCTCCGTTTTCCCCTTCTCCTCCTCGGGCACCTCCAAGAGAGGATCATCGCCCTCCCCCGCATCCGGAAGAGACTCGAAGAACTCCGCCCACAAATCGACGTAGTGATGGTCCTTTAAGTTCTTACTCGCCCGCAACAGATTCATGTTCCAATGAATGTACACAAGCTTCTCCACGGTCGCGGGCTTCAACCGATTCCGTCGCTTGGAGTGCACCAAGTCCATCGAGGACCAATTACGCTCCGCCGGAGTTGCAGTGCTCCACATGCCCATCACTTTGATAGCAATGGCCTGCAACTTTGACACATCGCCGCCATGTGTTGCCCACCACTCCGACGGCGAGATAGTATCAGCATCCTCGACCGCATCCTCTTCCCACATCTTCTTGTCCTTCCGCTTGGGGTCGTATGTGGTGGGTCGCTTGTGAAACTCGCGTAGGTCTTTCATTATATCCACGTGCGCCTTTGACTTCCAAGGTCCGCCAATTTGCCTCTGCAAATAACGCAGCGCGTTCTGCACAAGTGTGCTGTCCCGGTCCAGCAACCACTTCGGATCTCTCCTCCACGGGTCGAGAAGAAAAGCCAGCGCGTGCACCGGTTGCCGCATCATCTTCATGCGGTCCCTCACCTTCTCTAACACAGAACTTCGTTGCTCCGGTGTCAGCACAACCTCCGCCAGCATCCTCTCCATGAGTCGGTCGTACTCCACAAGGTTTGACGGTGCAGTCCCGTCCTTGTCCATCCTCCGCAGTAGGAGATACAACGGCTCCATCATCTCCACCACCTTCCTTAGCTCTGTCCACCAAGCATCCCTCCGCATTGTGAAGTACACGAGATCCGCTTTCGCTTGCAGCTTCGCGCTCGACCACCGCATCGCCTTCCATTTCCCCACATTCGTCGCGTCCACCATGTCCTTCAAAACTGTCCTCCGGTTGTGTATCCGCTCCAGCATCCGGTACACCGACCCGAAACGGACCTCAGTCGGTTGCAACAGCGTCAATGATGAGTCCAAACTCATCATGAAACTGTTAGTCGTGTGGTGATTCCTGATAAATTTGACGATGGTGTGGCCCCGCTTCACCGTGCCCTTCACCCACTCCAACTTGCTGATGTCCGTTAGCAGCAAGTTGCAACAGTGTGCAACACAGGAAACCCAAGGTATCCTTGAAACCGCAGGGTCCGTGCGTCATTCCAAAATTTGAGTTGCCCTCTTGTTCACCTCCGCGTTGTCAGTGCAAATCGCGTTGATGCGTTGCAGCCCGATCTCCCTCATTATTTTCTCCCATAGTTTCGCCAACGCTGCTCCCGTCTTCTTCTTGCCGTCCATGTACACCGTCGCCACTAGAACNCGTCCATGTACACCGTCGCCACTAGAACAGCTCCCTGCTCCCCCGCCGCTAAGAAGTTCATGACAGGCCGCTCCCTCCGATCGTTAGACCCGTCCGTGATGAAAGTGCAGCCGGTGACGTCACAAAATTTTGTCAAAGGCTCCACTTGCTTTTGAATGCGCATGAAAATGAACTCGAGCATGACAGTCCGAATGTGCTTCGAAGACGGCAACTTCACCTGCGGTCTGGCGTTCGCCACCTCGAGATACACGTTGTGCAGCTGCTGCGTGGTGTCGAACTCCAGGAATTGGAATGCAATTCCGGCTCTGAACATTGCCTCCGCCCACGCAACATCCTACTTCTTCTGTGCCGCGTTGTCGACCCATCTCTTGATGGTCGTTTGCTGCATTGAAGCTATCCTTGTGGTGGAAGCACCATCTTCTCCCGCCGCCTGTGCCGCTGCAGTTTCTTTTCCCTTCTGCACCAGCGCCTCCACTAGCTCCCTCCCAGCAGCAACCGGCGGTTGTGGTTCCTCATAACCGCAAGGTACAACCGCACTCTCGTCGTCTTTGTTGACAGCAACCCCCCCGCCGAAATGTTGTGAAGCTGCCGGTAATTTTGCACAAGGTATTGTGTCTTCTTGTCCTTCGGCAGCACCTTCGCGCCTTGGGCCACCAGCTTGTGCAATATCTCGCCTGTCCTGAAAGGGCAAGGCATATGCAATTTGAGGAAATGCTCAACGGCTCTTGTGCTCGTGCCCCTGTAAACGGTCGAGCATAGCCGACACCACAGCCAATACTCTCCCCGCCCCTTCGGCACAACCTCCTGACCTTGCTCCACGTGCTTCCACACCTCCTTCTCGCCCTGCAGCTTCGTTTACCTTCCTTCTGGCTGTGGGACAAACAAGGATGGGTCCGTCGTCGGCGTCGGGACTTTGTCAACCACCCCCGACGAAGGTGCACTCGAGCTCGCAATGTCCTTCCCTCTACCCCCTCCTCTTTCCGGCTGCCTCCGGCTCCCTTCTCCACCAACCGCACCCCCTGCCCTGCTCCCGCTGGCCATGTTGCTGCAACCACGTCCTCCGCTTCCAATAAACAACTAATAAAATGGAAGGATGGACGGACGGTGGGAGACTGCTTTACAATGCCGAAGAAGAAGAAGAAGAAGAAGAAGATGGATGGATGGCGAGATATTACGATGGAGGGAGATGCTTTACAATATCGTGATGTGGCGAAGGAAGGACGGGGGGACTATGGACCGAGGGAGGGATGGATCGAGGGAGGGAGGGACGGATGGCGAGATGGGAGGGAGGGAAGGATGGCGAGATGCGAGGAAGGGAAGGATGGCAAGATGGCTAGGGAGGGACGGAGGGACTATGGACCGATGGCGAGATGGGAGGGACTATGGCGAGACGGGAGGGAGGGAGTGATGGCGAGATACTATGGCGAGGTGTGGATATGGGAGGGAGGAAGGGATGGCGAGATGGCGAGGGAGTGAGGGAGTATGGCGAGATGTGGAGATGGGATGGACTATGGCGAGATGTGGAGATGGGATGGACTATGGCGAGATGAGAGGGAGGGAGGGAGGGACTATGGCGAGATAGGAGGGAGGGAGGGAAGTACTATGGAAG